AAAAAGATTTGTCTTGAGAGAGTGTTTGAAGGACAGAAGGACGTTTTAGGGTTTTGAGTGTGGTGTGAATGCCGAGGGCACTGTGACAGAGTCCAGGAGAAGTTGAAAGTAGATAAAAATACAATAGTTGCTGAAAGTAGTACAGGCATCCATCTCGGAGTGATCTGTTACCTTGTTTGAGCCTTGTGAGTAATTTATTTTTATGTTAATGCCTAAGTCCATTTGGTTTTGGGATCTGTAGGTAGAGCCCTGTCATTCCCCTATAAAAACTGGAAGGTGTACAGGCCGTTCCTTTGGAGAGATCTCTTTGTTTCATTGACCATCTTTAAGTGGTTTTGAAGCAGGGGAATAAATTGGGAAACAGGAGCCCAGGGAAATCAGAGGTGGTTGCACGGAGTGGTGGGGGAAAAAAAAATGCCCTGAATGTGGTGGGACAAGAGTTGTGTTGTATAGATGACAGGGAAGATGCTGAAATCATCAGAGCAGAATCCAGAACATTTACAGGAATAAATGGCCTATCTGGGTAAACCCTCACTTTCATAATTCCTCCTGTACTTTACACACTTTTACTTTGTTGAGTGTGATCTATTCTTTCCCACACAGTAGTCCTCTCCACGCACCTTCCTAATTTTAACACGGTGGCTCTGCTTTTGCTTTACAAACAGAAAATGACAAACAAGCACACAGCTCCGACAAGTCACACTCACAAAGTCTTTCTGTTTTCTCCCAGATTCTGTCCGACGTGACTGTTGTGACTGGGGTTGTCTCACACGCTGGCACTGACGCTGGTATTTTTATTACACTCTTTGGATCGAATGGGTGCTCAGAAGAGATGCAGCTGGAAAAAAATGGAACCAGGTAACCATTACTTTGTCAGTTCTGTTGCTTAGAACTACCCATGGAACAAAGAACACATCAGCAATTCAGGTGGGGAATTGAGAGCCTCAATGGGGAACGGTGTGATGGATTTGGAGGTGGGAAAATCCTAGATTTAGATCAAGAATTGGCAATGTGAACTCTTCCTGATTTGAGGGCCTCGAGAGACTTTTCTAAACTCCACTAAAATTTTATCCCTGTTTAAATGAAGAGTCATGCTTCTTTGAGGCCTCCAGAAGTAGCACTTCTCTTCTATAACAGGGCTCAGGTATAAGGTTGGGCAAAGTGTGGGCTATGCTTGGCTCATGCCCTGCAGGGGCCAAAAAAAAAAGTTCCCCATGCTCCTGGAGGCCCGTCTTTCCAATGTTGTGGGGAAAAAATGGCCGAAACCCTGTTGCTTCAATTTACACTGCATAAGGCTAATGATGTCATCAACAGCAGTGGGTTGTGTTGTTGTTTTTTTAAAAGAAATCAAAAGCTGCCAATTGCCCTCAAAGGTTCTGAGATTTCTTTAGGATCTCTTTCACAAGGAAGCCATGTAGGTTTACCAGAAATTATTAACATACCAAAAAAAAGTCACTGCAGGTGATGATGTCGTCAGCCTTATGGGTAATAAGTTAAAGCAACAGGATTTTAGCCAGTGTCTCAGAAAAACCTTTCTGCCCACAAAGAAGAATGGGAGGCAACATGTTTTTACCATTGCCTGCTCCTAATCCATCTAACTGGCATGTGAGGTATCAGATCTGGGATATTTCTGTGCATGAAATATGAGCTGTGTCACTGAACTAAGAATTCTCCTTAATAGTTCAATGAGTTACACAGCCCACTGTGTCAAACACAGCCAACCAGCCATATACCTACCACAGCCTGCCAGATGCTTAGTGGTATGGGTTTTGTAGCCTCTTGCCTTCAGAGAAAAACCAAGGAACCCCCCCCCTCTGTTCTCTTTCCAGTAAGATTTTTCTGTGCAATGTCTCCCCCACCCCTTGCCACCATGAAATCTTGCAGGATTTCTCAGAGGTTTTTTATCCTCCCCCCCCTCTTGTTATAATTCCTGCTCAGAATTTCAGCCTTCCTGTGCAGAATTCACTTGGAAAGGGCAGAAGGAACACAAACGTTACCATTCCTGCATAGGCTGGTATCTGTCCTGTGCAGGATTCACCAGAAACAGCATTAAACTGCATGGGATTTTGCCGTTCTCTGTAGGGAAAAAGGAGGGGGGAAAGGAAAAACAATGTTTTCAATAAGCCTGGAAATCTCATTGATGCAGTAGGAAGATTCAGTGTGGAGTCTTGATGTGGCAAGACTCGGGAAATCAGTAAGAACAAACATTTTGCATATACTCACTGCATCCCTATTTGATAGCTTTTGTAATTCTAGCAGGCAAGAAGAATAAATTCCTTGAGCTTCTGAACAGGCCTTGAATGGCTGGTAGAAGGCATTCCCTTTGATAGAGCACTTACTGTGTGGAATTTTCAAGGAAGGATTTTAATTTCTATTTGTTTATTTTATTTCTTGATAAAGTCTGCATGCCACCTGTTTGCTGTGTAGATTCTTGTCAGGCTGTGGGAGCGAGGGGTGGGAGAGAAATCCTTTCAGTCAGAATTTTTCATGCCAGCATGTATAATTCACACTTCTTGAATCTGTACGTGTACAAAAAAAAACACCACTTTTGTCCTGAAACCTACACTTTCCCACACTTTTTGTGATACCGTTCGGCTATCAGAAATGTGTACAAAAATTCACGCATTAGAGGAGAGTGTGCAAAAAAAAAATTACAGGTATGAATGAATACACAAAATGTATCATATAATTAAAAAATCACTTGCCATTTGCACATTTACGTACACATACTACTGTTGGAAATCAAGGCAGGCATTAATATATACATTAAAAGTGTGTGGGGATATATGCATAGATTTTTTCATGCAGTATTTTTTAAAATCAGAATCAGACTGAAGTACAGTTAAAGTCAGAAAAATGAGGAACCATGTGGAATGGAAACAAACAAATCTGTCTGTTCTTAATGTGAATTAAGAACAATTAGAAAAACTGCAATAAATTCTACAGTGCTTTCAAAATTAAGCCAATTGAGCAGGAATAGACTATGTGTTTTTAATTTGCACCATCAATTCTGCTCTCATTATTTGTTGAAAGATGTGATAATTTATATAGAGCGTTGAGGGCTCGCTTCCTTTATCTCTCCAACCTAGTAGCCGAAATCTTCTCGTGTAGCTTTATCCTGTGCTAGACATAGGACATTCGTCATCCGGTGACATAGGATCCTGGCAGCAATTTTTGGCAGTTGAAGGCTTTCTGCCCCTATCCAACGGCTCCCAAAGGCCTCCCCAGGGACAAAAGGAGTCATAGGGAAACTCAAAACCCGAAAGGCAGGTAGGGATTAGGAAGCTTTCTATTAATTTCAGTTAAATTTTCTAATCACTGGATAATGATATCTTCTGACTTGCATGGCGTCACGTTACACCAAGAGGTTTCCAGCCAGTGAGTACACTTCTGGCTTCACTGTTGTTGCTACATGCCGTTATGTTGCCTCCGGTCACCCTATTAATGAACAATCTCCAAAAATGTCCTGTCCTGAACAGCCCTGCTCAGCTCTTGCTGACTCAAAAGCCATGGCTTCCTTTAGGGAATCAATCCATCTCATATTTGGTCTTTCCTCTTTTCCTGCTGCCTTCCACCTTTCCCAGCATGATTGACTTTTCAGGAGAACCCTACCTTCTCATGATGTACCCAAAGTAGGACAGATTGTCTTTTCAGGAGAACCCTACCTAACCCAAAATAGGACAGTCTCAGTTTCATCATGTTTGCCTTCAGAGGTAGTTCAGGCTTAATTTGATCTAGGAGCCACTTCTTGGTCTTTCTGGCAGTCCAGGGTATCTGCAAAGCTCTCCTACAACACCATATTTCAAATGAATCTCTCTTTTTTTGCCTTCACACATGTACATAGTGAATAAAAATACAGTACAACAGTGTGGATGATCTTATTCTTGGACTCCAGTGACACATCTTTATACTTGATGACCTTTTCCGATTCCTTCACTGTTGCCTTCCGAGTCTCAGTCTTCTTCTGATTCTCTGGCCAATCTTTAACAATTTCAATGTTTTTATTTTTTACATTAAGATTGCATATTTCTTCAGTAGTCATGATTTTTTGTCTTCTTAGTGTTCAACTGCAATCCTGCTTTGACGCTTTCTTTTTTAACTTTCTTCAGACCAGATGGGCGGGATATAAATAAATAAATAAATAAATAAATAAATAAATAAATAAATAAATAAATAAATAAATAAATAAGACATTGCTGCTTTCTGCCAGTAAGATGTTTTTATCCTCATATCTTGAATTACTGGTGTTTTTTCTACTAATTTTCACCTCTCCTTCAACTGAATCTAGGCTTTCAGTATACGTTCCGCCTAGAGGTAAGGGGATAAATTCCCCCCTAGTTTTGTAGTGTTTACCAAACTTCAGGGCTAGGAACTTGATGGATTTCCCTTAACAAAACAATGTTCCAGTAAAGTGAGATTCCATAGTGAGTCTTACGGCTTCTCTGGTGTTGTACTCTCATGCAACTGCTAAATGCACACAGGACTATCATTACCTTAGAATCTTGGTAAGGTAAAGGTAAAGGTTCCCCTTGACATTTAGTCCAGTCGTGTCCGACTCTAGGGGGCGGTGCTCATCCCCGTCTCCAACCCATAGAACCATCGTTTGTCTGAAGACAGTTTCTGTGGTCATGTGGCCAGCGTGACTAGACATGAAACGCCGCAACCTTCCTACCGAGGTGGTACCTATTTATCTACTTGCATCTGCATGCTTTCGAATGGCTAGGTTGGCAGGAGCTGGGACAAGTGACGGGGGCTCACTCTGTTGCGTGGATTCGATCCTACGACTGCTGGTCTTCCAACCTTGAAGCACAGAGGCTTCTAAGGTTTAACCCGCCACCACGTCCCTTGACATGGAATCCTGGTACACACGTATTATTGAAATAGCAAAACGTAGCTGTTCACCTGCATAAACAGGAGCCAAGGGAGACTATAATTCTCCCCCTTTCTTTAAGTAATAATAGCTGGTGATATATGTGTTGGCGAGAAACATGTTTTTCAGCTGTCCCAGATAATACGATAATTTAATTTACGTTAACCTTAGCTGCAAAATAGCTCCTGGGAACCCAAATATTGATAAGTGGACATGAGGGCAAGAATGCCTCTTGAGAAATGAGTCCACAGCCCGCCAAAGGAATGGTGCCAAGCAATTTCTCGGTACCGCCCCACTGTCTCTCGTTAGTCCCCGCTTCGGATTTGTGCCCTTGTGTACGTCTAAATTATGATTCCCAAGAGCTTTCATGCCGTCAAGCTCTTCTCTTAAGGGCAGTAGCCTATGCATAATTTAATCGGTGCTGTCGAGCAACAGGGTGGGAGAGGAATCAAACACAGTTATGATAAGAAGCATTAAAAGTGCTCACCAGAGCTGTGTGATGGCAGATTGCTCAGCCAAACAGAGCACGCAGGAAGGTGCTTGATACTGGAGATGACAGGATTTGAATTGGGCGCCTTGTACATGTAAACACAGACAGCCCCGCCAGCACCCTGGAATGTGATATCTAAATGCAATGGATAGAACAGAATGCAGTGATGTGCTGGTGCCAGAACACACAAGGTAGGAGCTTCCTAACTAGCCAGTTTGATAATGTTGTTTGTGAACACCCACTCACCCAAATATTCCCCAGTTCTCTGTGAACTTAGCTCTCACCCTCACGCTACCTAAAGCATGTGAGGAGTTTTGCAACCAAAGTGTACTGTTGCGAGCTCTCCGTATGGTAACAGAAAGTATTTTGCAATGTCTTGCTCTTGAAAGGGCCATTGAGAGCCATTAGCTTTACAAAAGACCTGTTCCTGCTGGGAATGGGAATTACTATAGCTAGTTTCCCTTCCCTTTTCCAACCTATGTGACTAAACCAGTGAAGAAGTGGTAAAGTGTTCTTTGGAGAGGTTTGTCATGATCAGCATCTCTGCCTACATTTTTGAATGATCCCTGGGGGCGACCGTTACAGTGTCTTTCATGACAAGCACTTTCACATCACAAAATTCCAGTTCCAGGCTGGGGACATGGTGGCGCTGCGGGCTAAACCACAGAAGCCTCTATACTGCAAGGTCAGAAGACCATGCAGTCGTAAGATAGAATCCACGCAACGGAGTGAGCGCCCGTCGCTTGTCCCAGCTCCTGCCAACCTAGCAGTTCGAAAGCATGCAAATGCAAGTGGATAAATAGGGACGACGCGAGTGGGAAGGTAACAGCATTCTGTGTCTTGTTGTGCTGGTCAAGTGACCACGGAAGATTGTCTTCGGACAAAACGCTGGCTCTACGGCTTGGAAACGGGGATGAGCACCGCGCCCTAGAGATGGACACAACTGGACTAAATGTCAAGGGGAACCTTTACCGTTACCTATTTGTTTGATTCTTTTAAAATATTTCTATACTCACTGTTGTTTTTTTAAATGTTGCGTTATAATGATATAAGCTGCTTTGAGTCCTTTTAAAGGAGAAAGATGGGGTAAATAAATAAATACAAATAAATTACCATATTAACCTCTCTTTTCCGACAGGGGTCAGTGTGTAAGCAATTCCTTAGAAGAAGTGTGCTAATAGATAACTGGAATATCTTTCTCCTTCCTGCAGATTTGAGATTGGCCAGAGAGATACTTTTATCATGGAGATCCCAGACATTGCACCACTTAGGAAAATGAGGATACGGACCGATGGGGAAGGGAGTCGCCCAGATTGGTTTCTGGAACAGGTAACACATGGGTTCTGTAACTCCTCCACTGTTTATAAAGAAGGCTGTGGATCATTTGCAGATTCTCATGATGTTACTTATCCTGAAGGACGTGTGGGGTCTTCGAAGAGGTACTGAGTGCTGCTTCTGCTGGGCACTGAAAGTCAAGCTAAGCTTCCTCCTGCTTTCTGACATTCCACCAAATAAAGTGTGCATGTATTATCTCTCAGTGGCTGGAACTTGGACTAGAGTTATTTGTTGTTGTTGTTTAGTCATTAAGTCGTGTCCAACTCTTTGTGACTCCATGGACCAGAGCACGCCAGGCCCTCCTGTCTTCCACTTCCTCCCGGAGTTTGGTACCAAATTCACATTAATCGCTTTGATGACACTGTCCAACCATCTCGTCCTCTGTCGTCCCCTTCTCCTCTTGCCTTCACACTTTCCCAACATCAGGGTCTTTTCCAGGGATTCTTCTCTTCTCGTGAGATGGCCAAAGGATTGGAGCCTCAGCTTCAGGATCTGTCCTTCCAGTGAGCACTCAGGGTTGATTTCCTTCAGAACGGATAGCTTTGTTCTCCTTGCAGTCCAGGGGACTCTCAAGAGTCTCCTCCAGCACCACAATTCAAAAGCATCCATTCTTCACTAACTATATATAGTTCTCAACAATTCTATGTGACAAGGAAGTTCATTCTTTATTACGGTCGCAGACCAGCAGGATTATAAAAGTCAAGAACTCCTATATGGAGCATATGAATCCTTCTTTCAAGGTGATTGCAACATTTTCTCTCTAGTTCTCAACAAGGACATGGTGACCTATGAAGCAAGAATACGGTCTGGGCTTTCTCAAACCTAAATTCAGCTGGCTTTGTAAGCTCTCTGTGCTGGTCCCCTTCGCATAAAGTCAATAGGGGTTCTATTTTTCATTGTAAGAACATACGGGAGCGGGATACCGAAAAAGGGAGACCTGGAGGCTGGCAGGGATATTTGGCGCTGCACCCGCCGGCTCATAATTGGCTGTGCCTTGCCTTCATAGGCATGAGGCAGGATGTGTATGACCCTGGGCAGAAGAAGAGGCTATTTCTAGGCGAGAGCTGGTGAACATGGGATCTGAAAGACAACCTGTCTGGTCAGAGTCTATTGCTTCTGGCCAGACATGGGTCCATCAACACCCATTTCTTCCACTCCTTCTCTCTCCCTTGTCTCACTGCAGCATAGAGCCTCACAGTGTGTGTATAAGTGTGCAGAATACAACTTCTACATTGACCGGAAAGCAGCCGAACACAGAGCAGCCCTATCTGGAGACAAAGCATTGGCTCTGCCAACAAAGCTGTCTCCCTTCCTCCAGGATGTGTTCAGCAGGGTTGTCAAGTATATGGTGTGTCCTTCGGTTTAAGTGTTTTCTTCCTCCTTCTGAGGCCTTTTCCTCTCCTCGTGATTTACACCCTACGGGAAAGCCATAAGTTTGCTTTCTTCTTGGCAAGGTTGCTTATTTTGATCACGTTTCCTCCTGCCTCTCACTTCTCATCTTGGCAGAACTGGAAACCTGGGAGAATTGCAGGGAAAGCCAAGCACCACCTATAATTTTACCGAAAGGGACTCTCCGCTGTTAGGCTTTATTGGGAAGGAATGTTGGCGTGATGCACCTGCAAGGCATGGCAAAGCCTTCATTGTGGTTGGGGGGGGCATCAGAGTTTGAAAGAAAGAAAGAAAGAAAGAAAGAAAGAAAGAAAGAAAGAAAGAAAGAAAGAAAGAAAGAAAGAAAGAAAGAAAGAAAGAAAGAAAGAAAGAAAGAAAGAAGAAAGAAAGAAAGAAGCAAGGTACCCTGGACTTTCTCAAGAGAATGTGATCTATTTATAGCTGATGGTGGGGCCAGCCTTGCCCTGAATGAACTGCAGTGCTTCAAAAGGCCAATTTCAAATTTCAGGGTTCAATTTTAAATTTTGTGCTTTTAAAAAATGCAACTGCAAAATGTTATTCCCCCCTTTCCCCTCCCCCCTGCGCTTCAGCATATCAGATACTAACATTATCTGCTGCCACATCTCATTTCTGTTCTCTTCTGTTTTAAATACAAATAAGTTGCACCCACCCACCTACCCTAACGTGTCTTCTGCTCAGCTGAGCTATGCGTGTGCTAGGTTTCTGTATTTCTGTTTCATGAGACTGGTGTTTCTTCATCTTTCATTCAACACTGAAGGGCTCACCATAGCTGTCTCAGCATAACAGAGATGTTTAAAAGCTCCTGCTGTTACGATGGCTGTTGTACGTTCTACCAAAAAAAAAAATAGTTCCTGCGCGATGGCTCATGATGTAGTAACAAACAGGTTCATCACAAACTGTGGCAGTAGCTGAGCTGTGTCGGTGAGGGGGCCGAGATCTTTGCCAGATACTTGAGTGAGATCTAAGGAGGGGGCTAGGAAGAGGACTATCTCACCAGTAGGAAGCAGAAGGCGAGGAAGGGTCTTGAACACCAGGGAGGGGGTGGGCCACCTGATGAAAAGATGCCTGGCCTACTGTGTCCAGTTCTGGAAGCCATGCTTAGAGAACGATGCAGATAAAACTGGACAGGCTCAGAGCAAGTTAACAAAGATAATTCATGGCACAGGAAATGTGGTTGAGCCAAAGGTATGTGTCTAACATTGCACCATCTCTTTGTTGTTGTTGTTGAGTTGTTAAGTCGTATCCAACTCTTCATGATCCCATGGACCAGAGCATGCCAGGCCCTCCTGTCTTCCACTGCCTCCTGGAGTTGGGTCAAATTCATGTTGGTCACTTCGATGACACTGTCCAACCCCCTCCCCTCTGTCGTCCCCTTCTCCTCTTGCCTTCATTCTTTCCCAACATCAGGGTCTTTTCCAAGGAGTCTTCTCTTCTCATGAGATGGCCAAAGGACAGGAGCCTCAGCTTCAGGATCTGTCCTTCCAGTGAGCACTCAGGGGTGATTTCCTTCAGAATGGATCGGTTTGTTCTCCTTGCAGGCCAGAGGACTCTCAAGAGCCTCCTCCAACACCACAATTCAAAAGCATCAATTCTTCAGTGGTCAGCTTTCTTTATGGTCCAGCTCTCACTTCCATACATCGCTACTGGAAAAGCTTTGGCTATGCAGACCTTTGTTGGCAAGGTGATCTCTCTGCTTTTTAAGATGCTGTCTAGATTTGTCATCACTTTCCTCCCAAGAAGCAGGCATCTTTTAATTTTGTGGCTGCTGTCACCATCTGCAGTGATCATGGAGCCCAGGAAAGTAAAATCTGTCACTGCCTCCATATCTTCCCCTTCTATTTGCCAAGAAGTGCTGGGACCAGTGGCTATTATCTTCGGTTTTTTGATGTTGAGCTTCAGGCCATTTTTGTGCTCTCCTCTTTCACCCTCATTAAGAGTTTCTTTAGTTCCTCCTCACTTTCTGCCATCAGAGTGGTATCGTCTGCATATCTGAGGTTGTCAATATTTCTTCCAGCAATTTTAATTCCAATTTGGGATTCCTCCAGTCCAGCCTTCCGCATATAAGTTAAATAAGCAGGGAGACAATATACAGCCTTGTTGTACTCCTTTCCCAATTTTGAATCAATCAGTTTTTTGTTAGCTTTTTTTTAGTTAGTTATCTCCTTGTTAGTTATCTGCAATTCATTCCAGTGAGTTATGTAATTTAATTAATAGTGATGCGCGGTTTATTTGTTTGGTTTTCCAAATCCTAGAATTCTCCCTTCTAGATGCTTCGGCGCCAAGGATAGGCTGAGCACTATCCTCTTCAATTTGCCCTTCCTAAGGGGCCCCTCGGCTGCCTCTCAGGCTCTCCTCATCCAGGAAGCCTTCCAGCCCAGCCACTCTGTGAGCATAATTTAGATCTGGTTCTGGCAGGTGGAACTCCATGATTGAGGAATTCTGAGATCTGCAGTCCAAAAAGCAAGTGGCACATGCCGATGCACTGATACTATCTTAGAACTGCAGAATTGGAAGGGAGTCTATGGATCATCAAGTCCAGCCCCCATCAAGGAAGCACAGTGGGGAATTGAACTGCCAACCCCCAACTCCATAGAGACCTAAACCACTGAGCGATCCAGCAGGTCCTGTCACAAACATGATTCTGACCAGTATGCAAGATTAACTTCTGCTTGGATAAAACTCAGCCTGGCTGTGCCTTATTTGCTGTCACGTGTCATAGGGGACTTTTCCAGCTAATAAGGGGTGGGGGGCAACTGCCTATTTATTGCGTTCCCCAGTTCTAGGGAAGGAACAAAGAGCCACACAACAGAAACCATCCGGTCTATTGAGAATGCTTCTTCATTGCTGAGTGAAGGAGTAGAAATGGTAGCAGCATCTTTAGTACTAAGTCAGATCCTCTGTCTTCACATGAACAGGCTGAAGAAGAAGCTTCACAGATACACGGATTCAGCCAGTGTGAAAGGACAGGCTGATGGATCACAAAGATGCAGTAAACCCATCCAGTGTTCAAAAGGCAACAGTGATGGGAGTTTTACATTTTGGTGCATTTTAAAGAAAAAAGACTTAGAAACATGCAATGAACAAAACATGCATACATACAAAAAAACAGACACAAATCCCTCACTATCTCATGGGCAAAATGCTCACAGTGTCTCATTTACCACACAAAGATTTTAAAAAACCAAGATTTATCCCAGTTTTAAAACTGGCACTGAGGTCATTTTTTGCTAGCACTGCCATAAAATAGGCCTTCTGAGCTTGGATTGCATTGAGCTGAGCCAAAGAGGTGGCTGAATATCATATCCGACAGTTAGAGTTCTTTATTCTCTCCCCATAATTGTCAATGCACAAACAAACAAACAAACAAACAAACAAACAAACAAACAAACAAACAAACAAACAAAGGCATCCTTCAGTCTCGAGAGTCACGTGCTGTGAATAGAGGACTTGGAACAGCTTCTAGTGTGGCTGAGAAGGCCAATTCGAGAGTGACAATCCTTTTATGAATGAATTAATGAATTAATGAATTAATGAATTAATGAAAGTAAAAATAATTTTAAAAATGTTTTTTAAAGACATCAATTATAGAATAAAGACCTGAATTTCAGTGTGGGTCTGGACTGCTGCTGTTATCACATGCTGTCAAGGTGCCTTCAACTTATGGGAAACCTATAAATGAGCAATCTCCAAAATATCACGTCCTCAACAGCCCTGCTCAGCGCTTGCAGACTCAAGCCTGTGGCTTCCTTTAGGGACTCAATCCATCTTCACTTTTCCTTCTGCCTTCTACTTTGCCCAACATTATTGTCTTTCGCACATAATCCTGCCTTCTCCTGGTGTAGGACAGCCTCCGTGTCAACATTTTTGCCTCCAGAGACCGTTTAAGCTTGATTTGCTCTAGGACCCACTTGCTCGTCTTTGTGGCAGGCTATCTGCAAAGCTCTCCTGCAGCACCATATTTAAAATGAAATAATTTTTCCCTTTCAGCTTCCTTTATTGTCCAACTTTCACACCCCTACATAGTAATAAGGAATGCAATAATTTTAGAAGAGGTAGCCGTGGTTGTCTGTGCTAGCATATGTGTGAGGGGGTGGATTTGTCCACGAAACTATAGCAATTAGTCTGGTGGCGCAATGTTTTCATATTCTTTGTTTTTTTTCTTTTGTTTTTGCCAGGAATACAATAGTGGGGATCAACTAGTGTTGACTCATTGGATCAGGTGCTGAACTGTGAGTCAATACTTGCATAAGTCCATTGATTCAGTAGGTGTACTTCTCTTGGGACTTTACACCATATTGTGCCGCTGGGCTCTTCCTAATATTTCATCATCCTCATCAAAGACCAGCAAATCAATTCTTATACAGTGGTGCCTTGCTTTACGATTGCCCCGCATTACGATGAAACCGCATTATGGCGATCTTTTTGCGAATGCAATTGTGATAACAAAACAATGGCCTGAATGAAGTTTTTTCTCTTTGCGATGATCTGTTCCCTGCTTCGGGAACCAATTCTTCGCAAAACGACGATTTTCCTCCAGCTGATCAGCGGTTTCAAAATGGCCGACGGGTAAATAAAATGGCTCCCTGCTGTTTTCTGGGACGGATTCCTCGCAAGACATCCACCGAAAATGGCCACCCTATGGAGGATCTTCCCTGGACGGTGAGTTTCCAGCCCATTGGAATGCATTGAAGGGGTTTCAATGCGTTTCAATGGGCTTTTTATTTTCGCATTACATTTTCGTTCTACAGCGATTTCGCTGGAATGAATTAACGTCATAATGCGAGGCACCACTGTACTCAGAAGTGATTTACCATTCCCTTATTCTGCAGGCATCCTGGGACTGTAGGTTTCCCAAATCTATGCAGTCAGATGCCTAAACCTCCAAGCCAGGTTTTTAGTCAGCCAAAGGATGTGCTGACTAAGGCTGACAGGGGTCGTAGACTAATATTATCTGGAAGGCCATAATTATCCACCCTAATTTAACCAGAAATAAGCAAAGTGATCTGTGCAAATATTCTGAATTTGCAGCAGTTATACTGGTTGCAGAATTCCATCTTTTGGTTAGCTTTGTTTGGAACCGAGCGTTGATCTTGTTTGCTACTTCTTTTCCAACACGGAGAAATGTGTATTTAAATAAGGCACACCCTTAAATTCCAAGGGGGTAATAATACATCCTAAAATTTATCACACTAGACTTCCAGCGAGACCGTGTGAAAGTTCCTCCACACTCACCTTAATTTCCATCGGTCGTGCATGCAAGGAAGAACATACGGGGAAGTGCTTGTCGGGGTAGAGCTGGAATGTCAAACAGATGGCGCACTGTCAGTGCTAAGTAGACAAGATGAGAAGGCAAATTAAGCCATCAGCATCGTAATTAACCATTTGTTGCTATGTAGACGCATCCGTAACATTTGGAGTTCTCCTGTTCCGGCAAAATGACAATGGAAGATTATTTTGAATACATTTTTCTAAATAGCTAATTAAGAAAAACAACTAAAAATAAGTGAATCGTAACAAGAAGTTCTTAAAAAACGCAAGTATCTTATTCCTCAGGTACCAGGACGAGACATTTTAGTCGCAGAGAATAATGTTTTCTTGCCGAGTCTAGGCAGAATTAAGCCTACACTTCAGGCTTTCTGAAGCACCGTCATCTGGAGAGTTTTAATTAGTGCCTCAGTCCCTTGCTACAAACAGGAACAGGTTTTTGACAGCCTCTCTCGTCCCCCAAAAACACAATTAGTAGTCTGGCTAATAAATGTCCCAACAAATCTAGTATTACATTTTGCCCTTGGGATACTTTTTCCCCCTAGCCCGAGTAACATATGGATCCAAAATGTCCTGTGTTCTTTTTGACAAACCATGATGCTAACAAGCAGAATGCATGTGTGCCGGTATCAGAAGTTTGGTGCTGTTGAGACTCGGGGAGCACAGGAAGGAAAGCACATGGAATCCTTGGGGGAGTTCAGGAAAAACAGAAGGGCCCATGAAACTTAATATTGAACCCCAATCCTAACCCTGAACCATTCCAGTGGCAACACTGAAATTTCTGTGTGGTCAGAAAAGTGTTCTTCCTATTGAACGAGAGTTTAATTGCAGTGGGAAAAGGTAACCCCGCTCAACCATCACAGATTCCTGTCTGTATAAACCTTTGGGCTCGCTCACACCTAAGAAAAGAACCCCAGTTATTTATATATCTATATTGCAAAATATAAAGGGACGTGGTGGCGCTGTGGGCTAAACCGCAGAAGCCTGTGCTGCAGTATCAGAAGACCAAGCAGTTGTAAGATCGAAACCACGCGACGGAGTGAGCGCCTGTCGCTTGTCCCAGCTCCCGCCAACCTAGCGGTTCAAAAGCATGCAAATGCAAGTAGATAAATAGGGACCACTTCAGTGGGAAGGTAACAGCATTCCGTGTCTTAAGTCGCACTGGCCATGTGACCACGGAAGACTGTCTTCGGACAAACGCTGGCTCTATGGCTTGGAAACGGGGATGAGCACTGCCCCCTAGAGTCAAACACAACTGGACAAAAAATTGTCAAGGGGAACCTTTACCTTTTTATTGCAAAATATATATATTGGCAGGAGCGTTTGTGTTGATTATAACCGCATCGATTCATTTCTTTCTATTTAAGCTGTTATAACAGGCTACACTGCTCTTTAATTTTGTGTTGATTCCTTTGCTCTATTGTTCCTTGGAGCAATCAGCCTCTTTTTTGAAAAAATAACTAAAGTGTTATATCAGTAGAGCACAAGTGATGGGAGGAGGAAGCCTATCGTGAAAAGCAGGGTTTAAAGAGAGAGAGAGAGTAAATGTTGTCGATGCTACATGCCTTTTTTGCAATTCAAAGCAGGAAATGTCTCTCTTTCTAGCTCTCTTTCACCCACAAAGGGAGAGGGAGGGTCTCTCCTTCTAGCTGTCTTCTTCTGAGCAATGTATTCATATTTTGCTAGTAGCAGCCACTACTAGCAAAAACAAGTGGCTTACTTATATCCTTTTAAAACAAAAACAATTTAAGGTACAAGCACAATGGCCATGAAGTGGCCGCAGGGCCCAGAACCCCCAACCCCTTTGCAAAGGAAATAAATCAACAGCAATATATTCATACAAGCTAAAACGATAAGGAATGAAGCAATTCATCACCGGTACAATATAAAACAACCCTCTTGGCGAGGGGGAAATAAACTGCTTGCCGGGGCAAATGAACCAATGTTAGCTGTGCGTTGTGTGAATGGAAAATCATGAAATGATCTTAAAAATGTCCAAATCGGTATAATCCTCTGTTCCTTTCTCACCAGCTGTGAGGCAAAGGACCTCACAATGGAGACCAGATGGTAGGCTTGTATCTCACTCTTTTCCTGTTTGAAAACCAGTGCCTGCCACTGGGGGATCTAATGTCAGTCAGGCAGTGGATCCACTCTATATTGTGGTCTGTTACAGGTACTTAACCCAATGCCCAAAATAGGTTCTGCACCTTGGCTGCAGTCTGAAACAGCTGCCTCTTGTAGTAGTTGGGGTTTTTTTAAATGCTATTTCTAGTTTTATTTTGTTTCATACTTTATACTTGAGACTGTTGTTTTACATTTTATCAATCCCTGTAAACCACCTGGATAGCCATGGTTGTTGGATTTAGAATTCCCTCCGGGAATTCGCACAGCCCCTATGCTGGGCATCTTCAAAACCCAATTAAAAACATGGTTATTCATTCAGGCCTTCCCTCCAGCCAATTCTTGATTTTCTTCTTCTTCTTCTTTTTTTCCTATTTTTTAGTTTATTCTAGTTGTTTCATATTAGCCATGTATTTGTTGTGTTTTATTGTTTAATTTTATATTGGAAGCCGCCTAGAGTGGTCCATCGGTCCAGATAGGCGGGGTATAAATCAAATAAATAAATAAATAAATAAATTTGGAAAAGTTTTCTTTTTGCACTGCAAATCCCACATTCCCCCCCCCCAGAAGGTATGGCCAGTGGGAGCTGTCATCCAGAAAAATTGATTTTACTAATGTCAGATACATCACAAATAGATATATGGGTAGCTCTAGTAGATCAGCTAATCATTTAGCTCCCCTAGATTACCAAAAATCTTTTGGTGGATTGGGCTCTGGGTTTCTTCTAGGCCAGCAAAGGGATCAATGTTTCAATTGTATCCAGAGTTGCTTCCTTTGGTTTGATTCTTCCTAGATTATCATGAAGAATCTAACCACGCAAGAGGTGACGATATTTACATACAATGACTGGTTCTCAACGCAGTGGGGTGACAATCTTACGCTGGAGTGGGAGATGCCAGCAGTGATTAATGAGGAGCAGATGATGGAATACACAACATACACCATCCAGGTGAAAACCAGTGATGTTGGAGGTATGTGAACATTTTCAACCTTGTTCAATTTTTTATATATATAGTTTAGCATCAACAGAAATTAGGCCAGGATGTCTATCTAGATCAGTAGTTCCTCACCTTGGGTCCACAGATGTTCTTGGGCTGAAATGCCCAGGAGCCTTCACTACAAACTGTGCTTATCAAAATTTATGGGGGTTGTAGTCCAAGAACATTTGGAAACCCAAGGTTAAGAACCACCGGTCTCAAGCTATTAAGTGCTAACGTTGCTTCCAATTTATGGGAATGTTTTGAATTAACATTGGGCAAGTCCTTACATTTTCTTGCATGACCTCTAGAGTGACTGATCTCGCAGACATACGAGAATGGGTAGGGAACAGGGACCCTGCTGGAGGAGGGTGAACACTTGTGCGATAGGATTTCCACTCTGTGTTCTCTCAGTAGGATGCTAGCCTCAGACATTAGCTCTTCATTAATTAAACCCCTTTTCTGACAAATCTTCTTCCCTTAAATACTTTAATCCTCTTTGCTCAACCTGCATTCTCACTGAGGGTCAAGTTAAACATTACAACACGTAAGTCTCTTATAAAGTTTTCCCTCCGGGCACACAGTTCCTGCAAACCTCAGTGTCTCAGCCACCAGACTTGCAAATGAAGCCCAGGTTTCCATCCCAGTGATAGCTAGCAAAACCTAGCTATTTTCCAACATGTGGAGTTGAGACTTGTGCTAGGATATACATCTTTTACATTTTTAAGGGAACTCTGTTGTTGGTAAGATGTTACTGTATTGTCTAATGTGTTCAACCTTCAGTTTGGCTAAATCCAGGTCTCTCATCTCACCCTCTTCTGAGGGAAGAGAGAGACCTAATGGTAGCCAGTTTTTCAGCTAAATCGATAGAGCGGCCGCTGTCCCATCACTCAATTTGCTACAGTCAGATGGAATGGCTTCTGTTGGCTATGTGCTTATTTGTTAGATGGCTAGCTAGAACTATTTTCTACCTTTCTGCTGAGTGCAGTTAATTGACAAGGTGTGTGGTTGCATAAGTACGGTGTGCTGCAGCATCAGAATTAGCCTCAATGAGCTAGAAGAAGCGACACAACGTGCAAGCAAACACAAACACCATTCTGGCCAGTAGGCCCACATTCAGGTTGGTCACACCGATGCAAGTTCAACTCACTGTAGTTTCTTTGTTTGGCTCAGGAATTACACCCGTCTCAGTCCAATAAGGTAGCTATACCAGTTGAAGAAAAGATACCTCTGAAGGGCAGCTGTTTGCTTAGCCAAGCCAGTGAACAGGCTCCTGCCATCTTACCCTCCCTCTCCTGCCACTTGGCCTCTCCTTGTGAAGCAGCTGCCATGGTCTTGTTGGAAACGGGGGTCACGGAGTTCTGATTCTGTGCAATTTTACTTTGATGGCCGTGGCTGCATCCTAAGGAATCCTGGATTTTTTATTTATTTAACCAAATGAGGTGCTAAGAATGTTCTACTGGACATCTCTTGTGCATTCCCCTGAACTACAGCAGGAACTTTCGAGTACCTTCCCAAACTACCAAACTCAGGAATATTTGGGATGGTGCCAGGGCAGTTAAAATTGCCACGGGTTAAAAGCGTTGTGTTGGGTTTGTACGGTGTCACCAATTGGATTCTGACCTATGATAACCCTAGGAGGTCTTCCAAGGGATGTGAGTTATTTAAGGGGTGGCTTTCCCAGTGCCAGTCCCCACATGAGTTTTCATGGCTGAGTGGAGATTTGAATCAAGGCCTCGTGAATCTCAATCCAACACTCTATCCACTACAGAGTTAAAGGAGTTCGACACCTCTTTATCTGGCAGCATAGAGTAGTGCAATGGTTGTCACATTTTGGTCCCAGATGTTCTTGGGCTAAAACTCCCAGAAGCTTCAACACTAGCTTTGCTGCCTATGATTTCTGGGAATTGTAATCCAAGAACATCTAGGGCCCCAAGTGTGGCAACCATCGCAATACACTACGCTGGCTTTCACTGCCATACCCTCTTAGAATTAGAGAATATATCTACATTATGCCATCATAGCAGTTCCATTTCACCTTACCTACCATAACCGCGTCCTACAGAATGCTGGGTTATGTACATCAGCAAAGTACCATATTTTTCCATGTATAAGACTATACTTTTGTCTAAAATTTGTAGACTAAAAATTGAGGGTCGTCTTATACACGGGAGTAAGCTGAGGAGAGTACAAAAACAAGTGGAGGAGAAAGCAGAGATCAAATTGTTCCTGCAGGGCTTTGATCCCTGCTTTCCCCTCCACTTGTTAATCCTTAGCAAAAGGAAAGCAGGGATCAAAGTGCTGCAGGATCGCTTTGATCCCTGCTTTCCCCTCTGCTTGCTAAGTCCCATAGGGCTTAACAAAAGGAGGGGGAAAGGATCAAAGCAATCCCATGGCTGTTGAAGGGGGAAAGGGATCAAAATGATCATGCAGTTGCGGGATTGCTTTGATCCCTTTCCCCCTCCTTTTGCTAAGCCCCGCAGGGGTTAGCACAAAGGGAGAAAGCAGGGATCAAAGCAAACCTGCACCACTTTGATCCCTTTTCCCCTACACTTTCTAAGCCCCACTTAGATTTCTTAATTTTGGGTTAGAAAAGTTGGGGGTGTCTTATACATGTGGGTGTCTTATACACAGAAGAATACAGTACTTGGGATTCTGCACTATAATTCAGGGGAGTGAACTAGAGCTCTCTAGCAGAAAACTCCAAGCCTCCCACCAAAATTATAGATCCCAGCTTTCCATAGGATGGAGCCATGTCAGATAAAGAGGCATCTAACCCCTGTAACTGTGTCATGTAAACACCCCTATAGATAAAGTGGAAGGAACCCCCAACAGCCATCATCCAACTTCTTGCTTCTGCAAGAAACCCATTGGTACAGCATCCCTGACAGCTGGACTTCCAAACTCTGCATAAAGCAACCAAATAAAGAGAGTCCACCCCGCAGCCCAGTCCCAAAGCAGCCCAACCCGCCCCTAACAGAGATCTTAATATGGAAGCATTTTGCTAGGAATCATGGATTCTGGGCCAGATGAACTTTGATGGTTGAACCCACGGGGCATTCAGTTTATGAGCCTTTACAGCTGTTTTTTATAGTTCTCTGATGTTTTTGTGCTGTGGTGTTTGTTATTAAATTATAAACTGTTTGGATGAAATATTACGTGTTTCTCCCACCCACCCGTGCGGTGTATGCTTTTCATTTACATAAGCTGCTCTGGGGACATAGTTTGGAGACTAGCTAGAAATCAAATCAGCCCATAGATAGATACATTAATTCTTGCCTGCTATGGTTTGGGCTCCAGATTTTACAATTTACAGCGTAAGCCCAGCTGTGGATAATTGATGGATGAGCTAGGAAACAAATCTTTCATTATATATGTAGGGCCACCCAGGATGGTCCCAAAATCCGTGGTGGGAGAGGTTTCTGTGGAGGCATGGCCATATGGAAAATAAATGTTTCATTGTCCCATACTGGTGTTCTGTTATAAGGCTGCCTTTTCTTCGGGGTTTCCTATATCCATCAGTAGAAGGGAACAGTCAACAATGACGCCGTGATGCTGAATTAAACCCTTACCTTCTTTATATATTATGTTTCCTCTCACCTTCCTGTTGCAATGGAACTCCAGGCATTCCTTTCGAACTCTACCCAGCCACAAGGACCAGGGATCATTGCATTAAAAAGACCAGCTAAAAACACCCATCAATCACAGTGACAGATAATCTCTCCCCCTTATCACAACAAAAACACGCTGATCACCTTATCTCCTGAAAAGAACAAAAGCTGTTCCCACAGCTATCAGTACTCAACTATCCAACAAACAGCAACAGAGCATGGACAGAGTTCCTACTCCAGTCCTCTGAAGATGCCGGCCACAGAGACTGGCAAAACGCCAGGAAGAATAACCTTCAGAACACGGCCAAAGAGCCCAAAAAACCCACAACAACCATCAGATCCAGGCTGTGAAAGCCTTCAAGAATACAAACCCTTTCCTTCTTTATATATTATGTTTCCTTCCTGTCGCAATGAAACTCCAGGCATTCCTCTCTTCCTCTTTCTCCTCCTCTACAATCCCTGAGCTTGCTTGGCTTCAGCAGGATTCGTCATAGTCCTTTACACAATGTTTTTGGGTTGTTTGGGAGCAGCCCTGGACATTTCCCGTATTTTGCCATTCCCATGACATGTGTATACGATTCGAGGTATATTCCAAACAGAGACTGGACACGTTCCTTAGTTTGGACTGCAGCTTGTTGTTTTAAATGTCTTTGATGGAATGTTAATGGCGCTTGTATTTTGTTTCCTCCTTTCCTGGCATGTAGGCTTGCTTCAGGGACGTAGCTTGGAAACCAAGCAGAAAGGCATCCCGGAAAAGAATCCCAGAATTCCCAAGCCAGCTTGGCTACTGGCTCGAATCATACCTCCCTGTCATGGAAATGGAAGGAACATCATAGGGTTGTGCTGACGTGGCCCTCCCGACTTTTCTAAAGTCTTACGACCCTTCCCTTTGGGGGAAAAAAAATCAAATCTGAAAAATGAAAATCCAAATGACGAACGTGTGAATTAGGTTTTTCTTTGAGTCCAGTGATTATTATCAGAACATGACTCTCTCGCTCGCTCGCTCTCGCTCTCGCTCTTTCTCTCTCTCTATGTGTGTGTGTGTGTGTGAGAGAGAGAAAAGGCCGAAGGAAAGAGCAGAACTAGAGATGTCAACATCAGCAAATACGTCACCTTCATTTTTCCCAGGAAATGAAGGGTGATGGGTTTTAAAGATGGGGAGCTCTATCTTGTTATGAACTCAGACAGCCAGTGAGGGAGGGCAGGGAAAACAAATTAAGGAATGAATGAGGTGAGCTTGTTTTTGATCAGATTATACTGCAGTCAGTGTAACCATACATCTGACAGAGATGCTTGCAAGCTTCGAACGAGCTAAAATGCTGCTTCTCCCTTTTGCATGGATTCTGTTGCAACTGCTGCCCTCATTATTATTTATTAATTATAAAGCATGGATGGGGAAGATCTGAGGTGCTGGAAGGCAATTTTCAGCCCCTAGTATTTGCTGTGGGCCACTCAGCACCCCACCCCACCCCCCAAAAAACTAGAATAGGGCCAGAAGTGTATTTCTGGTTCTTTAAAACCACTTTTGTGGGAACATTTGTCCCAAAACAATGCACAGAGCAGAGCACTGTGTGTGTCTCGTGCACTATTTTGATGTAGGGTCTCTGTTTTTCTATGTATCTGGAGGCAGAATCTTTCCTGGGTGACTTCAGCGATCCATGCGGATCCCTGGAAACCACGCAGAAGCTATTACTGGCAGGTGTCCTATCCCTATTATAAAACTTTATATCAGCCCGTAAGAGATCGATTATTATTGATCATCAAATGATACCCTAGGCAGTTAACAATGTTTTATTGATAACAGTACAGTAAACAAGAAGAAGGCTGACTGCTGAAGAATTGATGCTTTTGAATTGTGGTGCTGGAGGAGACTCTTGAGAGTCCCCTGGACTGCAAGGAGAACAAACCTATCCGTTCTGAAGGAAATCAACCCTGAGTGCCCACTGAAAGGACAGATCCTGAAGCTGAGGCTCCAATCCTTTGGCCATCTGATGAGAAGAGAAGACTCCCTGGAAAAGACCCTGATGTTGGGAAAGTGTGAAGGCAAGAGGAGAAGGGGACGACAGAGGATGAGGTGGATGGACAGGGTCATCGAAATGACCAACATGAATTTGACCCAACTCTGGGAGGCAGTGGAAGACAGGAGGGCCTGGTGTGCTCTGGTCCATGGGGTCATGAAGAGTCGGACCCTGACTAAACAACTATACAACAGTAAACAACAATTAACATGGTGGTAGGAGAGACAGAAAGTATGTTGGAAGGGTACGGTTTTTAGAACAGGGGTGGATTTTTGTAGCCCCTTGTTCTCCTAGACTCCCCCAAGGAAGGTGGGGGAACCCTATTACTGTTCTGGGAAGCCTCCAGGTGCTGCAGTTCGATTTTCAGCACCATGTTACACCATTTTCAGAACAGGAAATGGATTTCATTTGGCCTCTGGTTTTGTTTTCTTCTTGATTTTTTCTTTGTTTGATGGATTTTCCATTTGCATGGCCCAGAAGGACACGGAGGACAGAAAATGGGTCCCCGGACCCCTCAAGCTTGCCCTCTCCTGTATTAACGCGCTTCCTCAGCTCTCCAATGTTCCTGTCGGCTTAAAGGGTCAGGAATGAGCCCTGAAGCAATGCCACCACCCTAACCCTTACCCTGATCCCCAACGTGCATTAGAGCTCAAATGTGGTTTGTCAGGGCCATGGCTGAAATCTCAGAGGATGGCAGTGTTCCTGTAGTTCTCCAGGCAAGGAGAGACATCTCAAGCACAGGAGGAAGAGGAGGAGATGGTTTGATTTTTATTGCAACCTTTTTTTGAATGTTTGTCCATTACAATGTTTGTTGCTTCAAAACAGCGCAATGAACCAAAGTGCATGAACCCACTGGGGTCAAGCCCTTGCAGCAGTGAGACAAAACCTGAGGGTTAGCAGTAAAGAGAAGATGCTACGTTCTGACCCTTGCCTCTTTGACTTCACAAAGACCCATCACCTCTACTCAGGCTTTGCCTTAAAAACCTCAGGGATGGGGAGACCTTCTGAGCTTGCAATCCCATTCAGAGGTCTAAGATAGTTTTTCAAAAATAAGATATTTGAGGGAGATCAGACAACTGTTACTCCCGGAGCTTGAGGTCTTAGCTAATTTTATGAAGCCAAGTCTCGAGCAATAATAAGAAGTGGAGTTTCTTGGAGGAAAGGGCAACAGGTTTAGGGTCTTAGCTAATTTTATGAAGCCAAGACTTGAGCAATAATAAGAAGCGGAGTTTCTCGGAGGAAAGGGCAACAGGTTTAGTCAGGTAAAACTTGGGTGCCCAGCAGGGTGGGGGACCCCGAGATCCAACAGGGTTCAAGTTTTTCTAGGGTTCAACAAAAAAAAAAAGAACAAAAGTATGCAGCAATTGATTGGTCCTTGAGAAATATATGCATTGGTTACGATTTCTCCCTGTGACGTGGTGGCGCTGCGGGCTAAACCGCAGAAGCCTGTGCTGCAGGGTCAGAAGACCAGCAGTCATAAGATCGAATCGACGTGATGGAGTGAGCGCCCGTCACTTGTCCCAACTCCTGCCAACCTAGCGGTTCGAAAGCATGCAAATGCGAGTAGATAAATAAGGACCACCTCGGTGAGAAGGTAACAGCGTTCCATGTCTAAATTGCACTGGCCATGTGACCACGGAAGATTGTCTTCGGACAAAACGCTAGCTCTATGGCTTGGAAACGGGGATGAGCACCGCCCCCTAGAGTCGAACACGACTGGACAAAATTGTCAAGGGGAACCTTTACCTTTACCTTACGATTTCTCACATTTCAGCAAAGGAGTTACCCATGCTCAGAGCAGCTTATCTCGAAGGAATGTTGAGTTTTGCTTCCTTGGAAGACAATTGGATTCTCTATTGCAGTTTCTTCCTCCTTACAGGATGAGTGGACACAGCCCTTTCAAGTAGAGAACGCCTTCAGAACAAGGATTCACCTTGGACTGCCTTTGAAACAGAGAACTCTCCCCTGCCGGCTCTGTCACCCTTGACAATCCCCCTCCCATGAATTATGCCATGATATAGATCAAAATTGCAACAGTCGAGATGGCATCTCTTTATGCATGGAGGCTGGCTTTATTTATTCTTCTTTCCCTTTCCAGAGGCAGGCTCGTTTCAGTCATTCGAGAAGCCGGGCAGGGCGAGGTGGGCCAACGTGTACACTCGCTTCTCTGGTTCTCCTCGTTCTTTTTCTCTTCCCCGGCTAATTGGTCCCGCAGTGAATGCCGCAGCATGAGGTCTTCGTAGGCCTCTCTCTCCCTCTTGGAGGATTTTTTTCCTTTCTTTCCAAGACATGGTTAGGTCTTTACCTTTCAAGGTCTTTGACTGAATAAGGAGCCTGTCTTGCTGAAAGAAGAAAGAGGGTTTATTTGGGTTTGTTCATCACCCGCAGCAAACCCCAGGCTCATGACAGGCCCTGCCAGGCAAACTCCCCTGACTCTGCTTCCTCCTTCAGTTTTCTGGAAAGGATAAATGAACAGTTAAAGCCCAATTTCATACAATCCATTTCCATCTGAATGGGGTCTTGACTCCACTCTGCATATATCCTTATGCACAAAGTGATGTGTTCCTTTCTGTTCTATACACTGGTACCCATATTCTCTCTCTCTCTTTCACACACATATACACAGAGATGTCCCCCTATAACACAAAATTTGTCTTCACGTCCCTGTGAGGTTGATTTTTCATATGGAGAAAAAGCCTTATTGACACATGGAATCTTTTTTTTCTGGTTTCATCTGCAGGTCTGTCCCAGCATTCAGACTGAACTAGCATTTCAGGGCACAGAAACCAGCACAGACAGGGTGGTTCTAATGCCTTGCATAAGGCCAGAAGTGTCCCCGAACATCCATTATTCCCCCCAAAAAACATAGAAGCCCTGCCACCAGCCAGGAAAAAAAAAGAGATCCAGATGTTCAGTACACAAATTATCTGGAAGGGGGACGGCTGTCCCCCTCCTTCCAAATGGCAACTCTTGTTTTCAGAAAGGTGCATGGTGGCCATAAAGTGGCCAGAATTGCAGGGAGAGCCAGAGGTTTATGGGTTACATTAATGGTTTGCCCCACTAATTAATCTTAGCCCAGCATTGGCCTTATAGGGTAGCCATGTAGCCTCCTTTTACACAGGAAGGCATCCTATCTGCAGATAATAACATGAAATAACATAGACACGGTCAAAAATGCAGTTTTGAGGTCTGTGCAGGAACACACACCCCCATTCCCTTTGAGGTCCTGTGGGACAGAAAATTGGTCCCTGGGCCAGCCTGAGTTGTCTGTCCTTGCACTAGCAGAAGGGCTGCCCAAGCACAAAGGTCTATAAGATCAGAAAGACAAATCCTTGGAATTAGCATTTGAAAAACCGACTGAACAGGGATGTAAGCCAGCTGATCACAGTCTTTGTCCAGTGAAATGTATTTATTTCTATTTACGGTAAAGTCCACTTGGACTAAACAATCACATTCACTTATTGTCAAATAGGTTATATTTAAATCATCATAAATTATAATTAGCTCTAAGTTTCTATCCCTAGCTGTAAATTAACATGTGCCAATATTTATCCTAAGCTGTTGTGTCCTTGGCTGGGACATCCTACCTGGCAAGTAAGTATGAGAAGCCTTCCAGAGTGACTTTAATAAAGCACTATTTTTTTCTCCTCCACAAAGCAGGCATCAAGGTCTGACATGGTCTCAGACATTTCCTGATACACCTCCTGCCCCCTTTTGACAAATCGCTTGATGCTCTGTTCTCTTGCTCTCTCTCTCTCTCTCTTTCTGCAGGGGCCGGAACAGATGCAAATGTGTCCATGATCATCTTTGGAGAGTACGGAGACACTGGGACTTTAGCTCTGAAGGAATCCAACAGGTCCAATAAGTTTGAAAGGGACCGGTTGGATGTGTTCTATTTTGACGACGTGCTCAGCCTCGGGGATCTCTGTAAAGTTCGCATCTGGCATGACAACAAAGGTAACAAGATGGACATGATTCATTCTTAGAGCAGTGGGTCTTCAAGCGTTCTTGGACTACAACTCCCAGAAATCCTAGTGAGTACAGCTAGTGGTGAAGGCTTCTGGGAGTTTTAGCTTTAGAACATCTTGGGACCAAAGGTTGGGAGCCATTGGCTTAAAGAAAGGCTGGCCAAAAGGGGCCCTCCAGATATTGAGCTGTATCTCCCCCCCCACCCCATTCCTCACCAATGGCATTGCTGGGTGGGGCTGATAGAAGTTGTTGTCCAGCCTCTGAAGGGAGGGACTTTCTCCGCCTCTGTCCTGATGTTAAAAATATCAAGACCATTTTCTTAAAACAAAAAAAGAAGATCTGTCCTCAAACACGTCAGTTTTAAGACAGGGCAGTGCCAGGGGAGGCTGCTCCCCTTTCATGGGAAAAGAGAAACCGCTGCCGGTTTTAGTCTGAATGTTAAATGGGAGCGACCCAAGTTGCTGGAGCAGTTTTGGAGATAAGCTTCAGCACCTTGGCTAGTTTGTGTAAAGTTCAGACAAAACTCTGGAGTGGATTCTCTGTCCCACAGACGCTGGAGCCACCAATTTCCTTTGAGCAGCATTGGGGGTGGGGGTGGGGGAGAGGATAGTGGAGGTGGCACAGATTGGGCCAAAGGCTCTGCAGGGCCAGGATGAGCTTTGTTTCATGTGCTTGTTTCTGAAAGGGAAACAGCAGTATATTTCACATTAATATATTGATATCCTCTCTCTCTCTCTCTCTCTCTCTCTCTCTCTCTCTCTCTCTCTCTCTCTCTCTCTCTCTCTCTCTCTCTCTCTCTCTCTCTCTCTCTCTCTCTCTCTCTCTCTCTCTCTCTCTCTCTCTCTCTCTCTCTCTGTGTGTGTGTGTGTGTGTGTGAGAGAGAGAGAGAGAGAGAGTTCAGTCGTATTGTAGCTGTAGCTCAGTGACAGAGGCAAGAGACTTGTCTAGAGGTGGGCATGAGCCACCATTTACCACTTCTTAAAAGCGGGGGCGAGGGCCCTAACAGGGAAATCTGGTAGCAAACCAACCTAACACCGGCATGATGAAAGTGGCAACTGGCCAACAAGCCCTGGCTTACACGAGGTTGGGGCCACTGAATTTGCTTTAATTTGTGAGCCTGTTTAAAGAGTGAGCAGTCATTTGAAAGTAGCTGTATTTGGGCTGCCTACCCCAACCATGGACCATAAAGAAGGCTGACCACCGAAGAATTGATGCTTTTGAATTGTGGTGCTGGAGGAGGCTCTTGAGAATCCCCTGGACTGCAAGGAGAACAAACCTATCCGTTCTGAAGGAAATCAACCCTGAGTGCTCCCTGGAAGGACAGATCCTGAAGCTGAGGCTCCAATCCTTTGGCCATCTCATGAGAAGAGAAGACTCCCTGGAAAAGACCCTGATGTTGGGAAAGTGTGAAGGCAAGAGGAGAAGGGGACGACAGAGGATGAGGTGGATGGACAGGGTCATCGAAGTGACCAACATGAATCTGACCCAACTCCGGGAGGCAGTGGAAGACAGGAGGGCCTGGCGTGCTCTGGTCCATGGGGTCATGAAGAGTCAGACATGACTAAATGACTAAGCAACAACCCCAGCCATGTTAGGAAGGTCTTGATCACCCTCTCTCACTGATGCTCAGACAGGCACTCATGTATAACAGGGTGGCTGCCTCTCCTGATTCTGTAGAGAGTCTGCCCATGTTCAGCTGGAATTCTCCACCTCAGGCGCTCTGTGACCGATCATCCTTTCAATGAGTATCATTCTAGAAGAGCAACCATTTGCCATGTACTTCCTTTGTCATTTTTTTAAAAAGTACAATACATATAAAACCAAATATAACGATCAACAAAAACAAAATACAGTACATATAAAACCAAATATAACGATCAACATTTACCGAAAATAAAACTTAGTGCACCCAGTATGGACAGAAAGCTGAGATAATAAATAAGCACATATTTGTATTCCCGGGTGATGAATAAGAAGAAAAAAAGCCATTCAAAGCCAGCCCCTTCAAGGAGGCACAGTGGGGGAAATGAACTCCCAACCTCTGACACCAGAGACCTTAACCACTAAGCTATCCAGAATGCCAGAGACCTTAACCACTAAGCTATCCAGACTATGCAGGAGTCTTCATTGGGCTGGACATTACAGAATCGAGGTGGGGGTGGGGAGGTCGCAGATGGAACAGAAAGATCCTCAAAATCATTATGCAAGGATTTACAGCTGTACCCTGGGCCATCAGCTTCACTGCTCTCAGGATCTGGTTCTACGTCGATGTATTTCTGGGACCCCAGAAAAACTAACCTCTAGGTCTTCGTCGTGTGCCCGGTTGGTGAACAAGATAAACAGCCTGAACATACAAGGATGAACAATGGAAGAATCTGTTCCTTTCTAACCCATGTCGCATTTTTAAGCCAAAATTCCATTCCACCTCCAAAGCAACATTAAACTAGTTTTAAAAAAACCTGTAATATTGAAAGATGTATTAAAAAAAAACAAGCTTTAATGCACATGGAAAAAATAGGGCACCGGCAATACAGAAATGCCACTGCAGAGTCAACCGGTGGCTCGCAGAGCCCATGTGGCTTTCTTTCCAAGCAGAGAATCTGCTGCCTTCCGCTTCTATTCCTGCACCAGCTGCTGCCGGTCTGATAACACGTTTGAGGCGGAGATGTCTGGCTCCCCTCCAGTTGTGGGCCC